TGACTGGGCCTGCGAGGGCGGCGGGCGGAGGGAAGGTCTGCGCGTGGGGGACCCGGGGTTGCGTCTGTGTCCCCCGCTTCCTGCAGGAGCAGCAGCGCTGTCCTCAGCCGCCAGAGGCCAGCTCCAGGACCCCCCAGAAGTGGCTTATCTTGTAGCTCCCCAACTGGGCAGACCTCTGTGCACAGAGGAGGTTGGGACACTCTGGCGGGCCATGGACCAGCTGGCAGTGTCCACGAGGGTCCTGAGAGGGGGCTGGGAGGGACAGAAGAGCCAGAGAAGGGGACACAGAGACAGAGCCCTAGAGAGTCAGGTAGAGACAGGATCAAGAGGTGGTGATCCTGAGAGCGGGCGCAGGGCACCCCAGGGAGAGCATGGAGAAATTGGGCGGGCCTATGAGGGGGTGGGAAGAGAGGTGGCCCAGGGCCAGGCAGTATCCCCACCCTGCCCGGAGCAGCAGTGCCAACACCAGAGCATGGCACTGCAGACCCTAGAGGGTCAGCCTGCATCTTAGGTTGCTGCTGGAGGGACCCCAGAAAGAGAGGCTTCCGGTAGTGCCCGGAAAGCCACATCTCCACACCCTTATCTTGCTTCCCTGGTCTCTGTCCCCAGCGTCCCCAGCCACTGTGATACAGGCAAGCAGGCTCAAATGGGAGATTGGGGTGGGGTGCCCTCTGGGGTCCAGTGGTCAATCTAGGCCACAGTCTTGGCTCCAGGTTGACCAGGGCTTAGGTGAGCGAGGTGGTCTTGTCCCTTCTGTTTGGGTCAGGATTGGGGTCCCGACCCCAGGACACTCCCACAAGCTACGCACACCCACTGGCACATTGGCAACCACCTGTGTGCTCCAGGGGCCCACTCCAGCCTGCTCAGTGCCTGAGGCTGTCCCTCATACCTGTCCTGTCCGGGGCCTGTGCAGCTCACCCAGCGCTGGCTCCAGAGCCCTTGGCCAGTCCAAAGGCCCTGCCACAGTTGCTGGAGCTTCAGCTCTTAGTGACAGAAATGGCTTCACAGTGGGCAGTCAGCCCTGGGGACTGGCCAAAAGGAGGGCTTGCCCCGTGGGTTCCCCTGGGCTGGCCTGCACTGCACTCTGGTCACTGGAACTTCCTGGGGGAGCACAGGAGGTTCACAGAAGTCTGCTCTGGAGTCAGCCACCCCCTCTGCACGGTGGGCGGGGGGCGGGGGGCATGGGTTCAGGAGAGGGCAGTGAAGGAAGGAGGGGAGACCGAGTCAAGTTCAAAGAGAAGTGAGAGAGACCATGGGGGCAGCTGGCTTCGGGGGGAACGGGGCTTCCCGCACAGCCCCGGTTTCCCCCTTTGTGGGTGCTCCTGGAAGACAGGAAAGGCCCAGGGACCCCGGCCAGGCAGCCTCTCTCCTGCTCCACACCCTGCTCCCCACAGTTCCCAGGGAGGCCCTGGTGCTGGTCTGCTCCTCAGTGAGGCCTCGCCTCCTGGGCAGCCTGGGGCCCCAGGACGGACCATGCTGAGGGTGACAGGGTGACTGGCTGCTCCTTGCTGCCTGCTGGCCTTGGCCAGGCAGCACAGCCCGTCTGGGATGGCATGTGAAGCTGCAGACTCGGAACCCCACCCTCAGGAGACAGGCCCCTGCCGAGTTTCCCTGCCACGGGATCAGCGTCGGCTCAGGGCGGCCCCAAGGTGAGGACCACGCCTTGTCCCTGGGTCCCTGGAGGGGAGACTGCTCAGAGAGCCCCGACGACAGGTGCTGGCCCCCGGAGTCTCCCGTGACCCTGGCTCTCCACGCGGTCCTCTCCCCGGTGACCTGAGCCTCAGAGACCCTGGGCCACGTCCTGCTCTCTCATGGCCACACGTCTGGCCCTTCCGTGCGCCCTCCGCACCTGAAGTTAGGAGTGGCGGAAAGCCCAGGCTCCTGGGCCCTGTCCCAGGCCAGCTGCGGCCCACCGGCGAAGAGCGTCCCCTCGCAGGCACCCGGCCCACTTGGCCCAGAGCCCACGGGCCCTCAACACGCAGTGAGGCCTTCTTTCTCTCCATTTCCCAAGTTCCCAAGCCAAAGGAGCCCCCTGAATCCCCCCTTCGGGCCTGGGTTGGCCGAGAGCATCCCTGGGCTGCCAGGCCCTGGTGCGGGCCCTGGCCGAGGGGGCCCCGGCCGCCTCCACAGCTTCCTGCAGGGTGGGGGTCTCTTGGGCAAGTCTCGCTGGCCTGGGCCAGGCTGGGCCGAGACACCCATGCAGCCACCTCTGCCCACCCCTTCCGCGTGGAACCAGGTGGGGGGCACATTAATAGTGACCCTGTTAATTGCTTCCAAATGGTCAACTGTAGCCATTTGACTAATTGGTCTCTTCCAGACCCTGACCTGGCCAGCCCCAGGCCTGGCCCACACCCTCTTACCACCAGTCCAGGGCCTCTGCTCTGGGTCCTGCCCCCAGACCCTCTCAGCCCTCTCTGGTACCTGAGCCCAGGCCACCCACTTCCAGCCCTTTCCCCTGGACAGAGATGAAGGAGGAGAGAGCCCAGGGGACAGTGTCCTGTGATGTGGTCCCAGCCACCAGGGACTGTCAGATGTGGTACTGGCCCTAGGCTCCAAACTTGCTCTAATTACGCCCCCGAAGAGGAGTAGAAGAGAGACCCAGTCCTCTACGCGCTGGCTGGGACCACTGGGTCTCCTGAATCCTTGGAGCTGGCCTGCTCAGCCCTGCCTGACAGATGAGAAATGGAGGTCAGAGAGGTGAATTGACTAACCCAAGGTCACACAGGCAGAGAGGAGGCAAGCTGACTGGAATCCCCACGCTCCTCCCTCAGCTTAGGGCCCCTGGCTTCCCTCTTCCAGCAGGCTGTGGGGCCCAGGGCCTAAGCACCACGTCGCCTCAGTATCCCCCTGGGCTTCTGGCAAGGGGACGCGCCGCAGCAGGACAGGGGTGGTGCCCAGAAGCCAAATCTCCATGCCCATGGGGTAGTCCCTGCCGGTAGATCCAGTAGAGGCCACGAGGGGTCCTGCCCAGGCCACGCAGTCAGAGCCTTCTCCCCAGCCTGGACGGGACAGCCCACTCTCCCTTCCCCTGGGAGCAGGCCCACAGGCCCAGGAGGCTCGCCCACTCTGTGGAGAGCAGACCCCGGCCCCCGCGGCGCCAGGCCACTCCGCTCCTAAGAGGCAGAGCCGGGCCCGGCGCCTGCAGAGCCCAGCTGCTGGGGTGGGAGGGCTCCTGCTGAGAGCCCTGGGCCAGCACCTGCTGGGGGGGACACCCAATGTCCCTGAACCCTGGACCTGCCTGTGCCCAAGGACGGGGAGGGCTGCGGGCAGAGAGGAGGGCCCTGCCGGGCTGCGGTCCCCAGGCTGCACTCAGCTCCAGATCAGCCGCCGGGCCAGGGGACCTGGAGTGTGGTGGTGGCCTGGACCGCCAGCAAAGGAGGCCCCCAGGGAGAGGCCTGACCCACCTGGGGACGGCCAGCACATGTCTCTTGGCATGTTCACTGTCTAATACTGATCCACTTTTTAAACTGTTCGCTTCAAATTTTTACTATGCAGCCACCTCTGGGGGAGTCCGTTCCAGCCCCCACCTGCCCCCCACCTCCAGCCATCTCAAGACAGCTGGGGGCACCCAGGACCCCCACACAACGCCCCTCACGCTCTCTTCTCCTTTTCCTCTTGTTTGTTTTTTCTGCTGAGGATGGAACCCAGAGCCTCCGCGTGCCAGGCAGGTGCTCACCACCGAGCCCGGCCCCAGCCCTGCAGACGCTGTGTAGACCCTTGTCATACTGTGTCCTTTAGGGCTAATGACCAGAAAGAGTCCGTATGTGTTCAATGCAGACACAATTTTTTCCACTAATATTTTTTGGGGGTACCGGGGATTGAGCCCAGGGTGCTTAACACTGAGCCACATCCCCGGCCCCTTTTATGTTTGATACTGAGACAGGGTCTCGCTAGGTTGCTCAGAGCCTTGCTCAGCTGCTGAGGCTGGCCTTGAACTTGCCATCCTCCTGCCCCAGCCCCCGTGGCTGGGATCACAGGTGGGCCGCCCCGCCGACTCCCCTGGTTTTTTTGGTCTGCGGTTGTTTGAATCCTCACATGAGGAGCCCATGAATGTGGAGGCAGAAGGTACTCAGAGTCACACACTGTCACCCAACCCATTCAGGAACCTCTTGTCACCCCACAAAGGTGGGGTGTCCTCCCAGAGATCCTGGAGGCCGAGGCAGGAAGAGAGCAAGTTAAGGCCAGCTGGGTGACCTAGAGAGCAGGTTCAAGGCCAGCTGGGCGACCTAGAGAGCAGGTTCAAGGCCAGCTGGGCGACCTA